TTGATATATACAGGGATTACTGAATGCAGTGGAAAATATCCTTCCATTATCAAACCATAGGTACTATTAAGATGCTTTTAAGTGCTATCTTGGTTTTGCTAACTAACATGAACTTCTAATTATTTATAGATATTGTGTAAGACATGTTGAGGCCAATTGGATGAAGAGATTTAGGACCAGAGAGATGAAGAAACTTATGTGGTGGGCTGCTTGGTGTACTTATGAAGAAGATTTTAAGGATCAATTGAATGCTCTTGGTGTATTATTAGAGGAAACTGCTAAAGATTTGGTCAAGTTTCCACCACAAAAATGATGCAGAACATATTTTGCTACTGTGTGCAAAAATCAGATAGTAGATAATAATTTCACTGAATCCTTCAACTCTTGGATCTTGGTACCTAGAGGCAAACCTATCTTGAAGATGCTTGAAGAGATTAGAGTCAAAATAATCAACAGGTTGAGAAAGAAGGAAAAAGAGGCAGAAACATGGAACATTCATTACAAACACAGTCCTAAGTGTATGGAATTATTTATTACCTACAGTAAGATTGCCAACTTATGCAAGCTTGAGTTTAATGGGGACCTTGGGTTTGAAGTGTCTGAGGGTGAAGATAGGCACATAGTGAATATTGTGGAGAAGAAGTGTAGTTGTAGGTAAATATATTAATTGAGACTATTATGTAACTTTGATTATGTAATATTCACACGAACTAATTATTGCTTTTCATTTTAGGTCTTGGCAGTTGACTGGCATCCCATGCCCTCATGCCATCAAGGCATTGCGCTACAAAAATATTGAGCCTCGAGATGAAATAAGTTGGTGGTACACTAAAGAAGCCTATCTTAAAACATACGGGGCCAAGTAGTTGCCTATGAGAGGTGAACTATTCTGGCAAGTATTGCCAGAACATGCCATGGACCCACCTGATCTTGTGAAAACTATTGGAAGGCCAAAATTTTAAAAGAGATAGAGAAAAAAATGCAGCAATCAAAAGAGCTGGAGAGTGGTCTCACTCAAGAAAAGGAACTAAGATGACATGTAGCAAGTGTGATTCACAAGCTCACAATGCAAGGTCTTGCAAGGTAACAATTTTTTAATTTAAAAGTTAGCTATACAATGTTCATATGAACTAATTTAATGGCTTATTTAAAAATATTTTAGGCTAGTGAGGAAGGAAGCATTTCAAGTCTTAAGAGGAAAAGGGGCATGACTGAAGAAGTAGAACAAGATGAAGAAGTTTTTTATGTCAATAGCTCAGCCCCTCAACTAACTCAAGAAGGAATTGAAAGTGACATATCTGCACCAAGACAGAGACAATATGAACCTTTTGGTCCTACTAGAGAACTTGAAAGTGATCCTGTTTTAAGGCCTCGTATAATTTTTGAAGAGTTAACAAGGCATAAGATGAGGCAGAACCAACAAACAAGATCTGCCAATAGAGTGATCACTTTCATAGGTGATCATAGAGGAGTGAGTGAGCCTACATATTTGCCTTACTCACACACTAAAGTCACATGGAAAGGAAAAGAAGTTATGACTAGTAATCAGTTGGAAAGGGCCAGGGAGAAGAAGGTGGGGAAGTTGAAGACCAAGATAGCAAATGGAAGATCCCAAATTTAGACTCTTGGTAGTTGGAAGTATTATGTATGTGCTAGCTTCTGTTATTTTTTTTTTTGAGATACTGAAATGTTGGTTTTTGTATGATCTGGCAAATGCAAACAATGGCATTACTATTTTTATTTTTTTTTATGTTATGGATGCAAACAATACACAATTGTTTATGTTTTATTTCGAACTGAAGCTTTGTTTTGAATGAATATTTGTTTGGCCCGTTTTTGCTTCAGGTTCTTGGTCTGTTTTGGGTTAGTTAAGGTGTTAATTGTTATGGTTTGGATTCCAGTATTGTTGTTTGGCCAATTTTTGAAATTTAACAGGTGATCAACAAGTATTATTGTTGCTTGTTGCAGTTAAGTTGTTGTTATGGTATGAATTCCTTTGTGTTTTTTGTGTTGCTCTCCTGGAGAATCCTTTAGTCGTCAAAGTCAGTGACTATTGAAATTGATCTGGTCTTATGGACAACAAAACATCTGATCACTTTATTCGTGTTTGTTTTGATATGGCGGATGCGTATGTGATCGAACAAATTCATGGGTATTCGATAAGAAATGATATTGATCCAGGTCCTCTATTCAGGGGTGGATTAATCAAGGCTTGCGAGTGTTGTGAGTGTCTTGAGAAAGCTCATCTTATGTTTCTTAGTAATGTGGTTGTTTGGAGTAGTATGATATTAGCTTTACGCATACGGGCAAACACTTGTGGGTTTTGAGACAATGGAGAAGGCTAATGTCAGGCTTGATGGAATTACTTTTCTTGCACTTTTTGCTTTTGATAACACTGGTCTTTTGGCCTTGAATATACTATTACTCAATTGATGCAGTACTACTGTTTATTTTGTTCATCTAATATTGGACTTAGACGAGCTTAAATATAGTAGAGTAGACACTACTCCGATAACTTGATACACCACGATTCTAACTAAGAAAGAGCAGGTGTTTTTGCTTTTGCTAAATTCTTTTGCTTCCTCAAGATCATCGGGATTGGTTTCAAGGCTAAAGCGGAATCTCATGGTTGTCTGTTATACATCAAAATTTGGACTAGAGAGATAGCTGAGCTTCACAAGACAGGCAGCAACCCAGTCTTTGTGGTATAGAGGGATGTCAGATTTCAGAACCTTCTGCAGTAATTTCTTATGTATGTATTTTGGATTAACTCAAATTCGTATAATTGTTTTCAATTTGTTTGGGATTGCAAAAATTCATTGTTGATTACTTGGTGTATATGATTTTTCGTTCTAACTTAGCTTAATAGGAGTAGATTTTACTTCACAAATTTGAGTGTATTTGTTTGTTATCAATATTGAGTCTATGTGTTGTTTTGTGTATGTTACTGTATGCGACATGCAAAAAAGCACGGAAAGCAGGCTGATATTTCTGAATTTCGAGCTCAGCTTGATGCATTGGGCTTAAAGATTATACAAGTGATGGGAGATGGAAATTGTTTCTTCAGGTTTGTGGTGAATTGAATAATGAAAATGGAATGAGGTGAAAAATATGACGTTTCCCTCCTAAATTTAGTGGGTGGGTCTAATAAAAAATGGGTTAGGGTTGAATTATTAATTGGGTCAAAAATTTTAGTGGGTATCCTAGTTGGCAAGCCTATGTGGCGGAATTAGTGCCATGTGGCTTGCCAAATCACTTCTGTTAAGTCTTAAGGGTAATTGTGGTCTCTTAGGATAACGGCAAAGGTATTTTTTATCCTAAAATGTAACTGAGGGTATAAGAGGTCTATTTCTCATAGTTCAGGGGCAATTTTGACCCTTTTCCGTTCTTTTTATATTATTAGGATTAAGATAAAGGACCAAAATGAACATTTTTTGTTGTACATTAAGGACCATTTCAATCAAGTGAAATATATTAAGGACCAAAACGAACATCTTTGTTATACATTAAGGACCATTTCAATGAAGTGAAATATATTAAGGATATAAAACATTACCCATACATTAATATCCATTTTGGTCATTTTCTCTTTAAGAAGTATTAAAAGTTCTAAAAAAAAATTACAACAACAACTCAATTCTAACCCACCTAAACAAACACACATACAAATTATTTTTTGATAGATCTAGGATCCTTCCTAGTCTTTACCATTTGCTCACTTATACACTGTCACAAATATTGTATAACAATATATATTTAGTGAATACTCAGTGTATATACAATATATATTGATTATACACAAACATACACAAAGTATACATTGGTTATAAAGGCCCAAAGTGTATATTTGATGTAACTAATGTATATTCTTTTGAATATCAATGTTATATATTATACAATGTATATACATCTTTATCGGAAATAACCTCTATACCTCTAAGGTAGTGATAGGGTCTGCATACATTCTATCCAAACCTCACTTTATGGAATTACACTGGATTTTTTTGTTGTTTTTGTTGTTGAATCTATATAAATCTCCTATACAAAAATCATTAAAACCAAAGGATCGGGAGAAGGAGGTGGAGAAGATTCACTTCTTCACACAAAAAGACACAATTCAAACTAAAACAGTTGAGCTAAGACCTTCATACTCCTCCAACAAGCACCATTAAATTATCAGCAACATTTATAGTGTATATAAAATGTATATACATAGTATACACATTCATTATACAATACATATACATTTTATATACATTTGCAAGGTCACTACAAAAACTTTGACATTACAATATGTAATTGTAAAGCTATTTCCTTTATTCTGTCCACATTCACAATAACTTGACCTACAATATGTAATTGTTCTAATATTTCCACCCTTTAAATAATGAGTATGGACCTTAAAACCTAAAGTTTGTCCTTCTTCTTTGTAATGGCTCGAAGCAACTTGCTAATTTATTCCATTGTTCAAATTGAATGATGTTTAGGTCTCCAACGAACTTGATTTGCATAGTCTCCCATGCTATTGGAGACATTTTACCATATCCATTGGTATCACTCCATAGGTAGTTTATATATATATATATTGGCTATTAACTTGGACACATTTTAAGGAAGAAGGAATACCAATCTGTCTATCTCCACGAGGTAGTGATAAGGTCTGTGTACATCCTACCCTCCTCAGACCTCACTTGTGAGATTTCACTGGATATATTATTATTGTTATCTACATTTCAAACAGGTAAGGAGACAAAATCTCCGCACCCAAGTCCTTTTTTGAAAATTACAAACTTGGAATTGAAATTCTACCTTTTAAGTGAGTTCGAGATATGAAAACAATTTATCAAATATCATAAACAGACAAAAAATTCAAATTCAAAACTTCAAATTTAAAGTTCATATAAAAGGGGAAAATGAAATACAATAATTAATAATATGTCATACAAAATTCTCAACTCTGCTTACTATTTATCACTCTTTCTGCATTATGATTATAACAACTATGTCTTCCTCCTAGCCATTGATGTAGAATTACCATCGAAAAAATCGTCGATCAATATTTCAATATCCTCTGGCTGATACTTTATATACTTCTCTGCTTGCTTTGCATTGTCCAAATACTGTCTAAATCTCCCAAAAAATGATCTATAAGCAGGAATCACCAATGAAGATATCGAAACTCGAAGCTCTGATTGAAGTTGCTCATCACTCACAACCCAAGTACTCTGACTCCTATGTATTTCATCGAAAATCACATTGAAATTCTTGAACCTCTCTTTAACTGTTGTTTTCGCCACTTTCCCGTGTACTTGCATTCCATCATGTGTTAGGATTTGAAGTACTTTACCAAATGTCTCCCTTTGATAGTTCTTGTGGTAATGTCTAACGATCGTTGATCGTCTCCTACACCACGTATCGCCCATCACTTGATGTATCTCCGCGGAACCTTTCACTTTTTGTAAAATGTACCTACCATTGTTCATTAGAAAAATATCGCGTAAAGCAGGGTCTCTGTAAAGGTTTGATTTTGCTTCAAGATTCGTGTCAAGAAGGTCCATTATCGTCACGAGCTGTATTGAAAATGGCGTTGTCTCGGAGTCACAATGTGGGCTATTGTTCTCTGCTTCTACCTCCAATGTTGGCATCAATTTGGTAGGGGAATTGGAATTGGCATTGGCATTTGATTCTTCGAATTTTACGTGTTGATGGAAGATGTGCTCTAGGGTGATTTTGTATTCACAAGCATATTTTAAATAATTCATAACGTAACGCGTTAGGGGGTGCACTGCCCCACCAGGGACGGGTGTCCTTGCAACGTCGTTCTTTATGGAATTTTCGAGATCACTAAATATACTTACAGCTGATTCACCTAACCTGTCTATTGTAGCTTGAATCTCTGAATTCAATTCGTTCTCACATTCATTTGAGGACGAGTTTTTTATGGATGGAATGAGATCACGCAAAGCTTCATACATGTCTAGGTATTTGAAGAGTTTCTCTGCGGAGCGTTTGGTCATAGTTACAGCCTCAGCAAAGTCGAGAAGCTGAATGACAATTGCGCGAGCTAGGTTGCTAAATAGGCTTTGAGAATTCATTGGAGACTCGGAGAAAACAGAGTCCCCGAGTCTCTTTTCACCGGGGAACAGAGTTGTTGAGCAACTTTTAACAGCTCTGATCCACCGTGTGATCTCTCCTTCTAAAGAATCCCATTGCATTCTTTGAACATCCTCCATGTTGATCTTCTCGAATTCGAGCTTCTTCATTTGTTCTACACATGCATTTCTTCTCGTAATCGAGTACACTTGACAACATTCTGTTTCATAGCCTGCCATGATCATGGTAGAGGCTATTCGGTTCATTCTTGTCACCGTGTCAGGAGGAAATGACGGATGTTCCTCCTCTCCACTCGAGTCCGAAAGAGTTAAACTACATTGTTCCCCATCTACTAATAGCCTGTTTGAATTGAAGGAAGAGTTTTTATAAACTTTAACATGACTTGAAGAAGAATCTTCTAACAAGGCTCTCAAATCCTCTTCCATTAACGTCATGGCCCGTTGTAGGACCATGCTCGTTCTGTTCAACGACCTAGTGGTCGTTGAACCTGAAGGAAATTCACTCAAGGAATTAGTCAATTTGGATAAACGTGACACTGCTTCAACGAAAAAGTTGTCCTCCTCTGTCATCTTGCATAATCTTGTGGACGAATTTTCACAAGTATTATGCTTGCTGATTTTCGACTCGATGATTTTTGAGAATGTCTCAATGATTTCAGGGACTTCAGGGGGATTTGATTTATCATGACATGTTGAAAGTTCATCGATGAATCGATCAATATCATCCGATAACTTCTTGACATCCTCATTGTGATGATTCAAGGAGTGATCCAATTCTTCCTGGCTGCTTTTTCGCGAATGTGGATCAGTTGATGTGGTCGGATGAGGTGGTTTAGGGCTGCCCGTGAAGCTACCATTTTTATCTAGGTGATTCTTCACCATTTTCGATATAACCAAATTTCTAGATCAAGTCAATAGATTGAAAAAATAATAATGTTCAAGTGATGAAAAAATGAGAGGAATGAACAAAATTGATTGATTGAGAATGATGAAATGATGATGTTTAATTTTTGTGATAGAACGAGTTTATGGGAACAATTGGTTGGTACAAGTTGACAATTGACCCGGTTGACAAGTTTTAGTTAGATAATTGTGCTTCACACGACTTTATCTTTTGTGTTAGCAATGATTGGATTGCATTTTCTTAGTAATGGTTGCCCACTACTTACTAGTCCACATGGTAGTGGGATGGTAAGCATATCTTCATTCTTAATTAGACGTTTCAGATTCGAATAATGATGATGAAATTAGGATAGGAAGGGAGTTATAACAACTGAACCTCATGTTTTGAGTATTTATAAACTTTGGTATAAAACTTGTTGGATGGTTTGAGATGAGACTCGAGGGGTTTGGACGTGTGTTGGATTGGTTTTAAGTTGATGCGACTGAGATCGCAGAGATGAGAGACTTGACTAGCGTCGTGATAGCGAGGTCATGAACCGTGATCCCTAGAGATGTTCACAAGTCAATGTTTGTGATTAAGTGTGGCGAAATCAAATTCAATCTGTATAATCCGTCAGAATCGTTTAAGTTTGAGCGGATTATTGACCCGATCATTTATTAGGTCGATTCATGATTTCACCCCATTAAGAATTGGATTGATATGAGGTCTGAATTGACTCAAGAGAAATTTTGTCAAAATATTTATTTAATTTAATATGTTATATATAGCCATAATAAAGAAAAATAATAATTTTTTTAGCTATTAAAAAATTATGTAAAAAATCAAACACACCAACAAAAATTTAGTAATAATTGAGCAGGTTGGGTTTATGACTCACCTTTAGCCCATTTAAACTCAACACATTTCAACTCAATTAGCCTTTGGGCAGGTCAATAAACGGCCTATTTAAACTTAATGCATTTCAACCCAATTAGCTTTGGGTAGGTCAATAAACCACTCATTTAAACTTAATGCATTACATCCCAATTAGCTTTTGGACAGGTCAATAACGTAACCCGCCCATTTATTAACTTAGCTAATTTAACCTGCCCAAATTCAACTCAACCCGCTCATTTGACATATCTATTTGTGACCATAAGGGTTGTACCTTGAAAGTCATGAAGACTTTGACTAACTCGTGTTCGTGAACACGAAGAGATGATTTGCGAAGAAGACTAGGTCATCGATGATCGCAATCATGTTGAAACTTTGAATTTTTAAAAATCAATTTTTGCAAGAAACCAAATTTTGTTCTTGAGTTTTGGGACTTCTATGTAAGGGTGCACATCGATCGATTCAGTCTGCTTTTATATATTATTGGGGTTTAACGGTTTTTGATTTGTGAACATGCTAAATCAATAACCAAATGAATAAGATTTAATATCGATTCTCACTTGATCGTTTTTGGTCCTTAACGATTTGGCTTTCGATTTAACAGATAAAAAATATTCATATAATCATATATACACAGGTTCATAAAATAAAAATTGTAGCAAGACTCGTGCAATAAACTGCAGAAACAACGTTAACTGGCTATCTTTATCACAATCAAAATCTAAAATTAAAAAGAGAGAAGGTAATACTAGTTTGTGTCGAGAAGATAGATGGTGTCTCTATATACTTAGGAGTAAAATAGTAATTTTAATATAATTTTATTAGGTTATCGGTTTAACCATTAACCAAAATCATAAAATCGAAGATCGAACCGATAACCAACTAAATAAAATTACAAAATTGTTAACCCAATAATATTTTTTAACCATTAATCAAAATCATAAAATCGAAAATATAACCCACTAAATATATTACAATAACCCGATAATATATTTTTAGGTGCAATTTATCGGTTAAATTGATTTTTTCACACCCCACTTCTTTGTCACATGGTTTGTACCGTTTTTAGCGAAAATAATCACGAATCAATGAGGTTACAAAACTTTTTTTTGGATTATTTACATGATTTAATTCGAGCTTTTACCTTCAAAGTTTTTGTTTTTTTAAAAAAAAAAAAAAAAACCAGACATGGAAATTTGGGACTTCAATCCCAAAATCCCTTGTTTGCAACGAATTTTAAAGTAATAGAACATAAATTTTAATCACAAATAAATATGAAGAAACCTGATTTTATTTTATTGATAAATAGTACAGTTATAATTTTGTTCCTCCCTTAATTCTTCTCTCTAAATTTTATAGGAAGATTTGGATTTGATCTCACTTATGGATCTTCTTGAAGTATTTTGATTGTCAAGAAGATTACGACATATTTTGATCTGTTTATGATTATTTCAAGATTTTATGAAATATTCAAGATGCCTTTTGAAGAGAATTTAATACCTTTATACATGCATAATTTAGGGTTTAAGGTAGAATAATCCTAACTGAAATCGAATATATCTTGTAGAATCCAATTAGAATTGAACACGTCTTATAGAGTCTCATAAAATTTCAATGTCTACCCCTCCAAGTCTCCAACTAAGCAAAATGAGGATTTGAGTGATCAAGTAAACTCCAATTAAGAATCTAAAGATAAATTTATCTCTTCACCATTGATATTAAAATTACAAGTAGAAATTAATATTCCACTCTACACCAAAATATTAAAACTAACCTATTTATAATGATATAATATAAAGAGTGACCTGCTTAAACAAACTGGTTCTATGGTGTAGTGGTTAGCACTCTGGACTTTGAATCCAGCGACCTGGGTTCGACTCCCGGTAGGACCTTTATTTTTAAATTATTTTTGTCTTCTCATATCTAAATACCCAACTTATTTTATCATATTCTCTAAAATTTCCTATCATTTGAAAATATTACAAAATTCTTACTCAGTCCTATTCTCGGATACATCACTATACGCGATGTATCAGGACGTTAAACGATGTATTCGAAATCAGGACGTGATATGTTGGAAGGTTTTTGAATGTATCCGGATTCCACCAAATGTAAGAGATTTTTATAAAAAAAAATTAAAAAAGGATAGAGATAGGATGTAATTAGCTCTTAACACTACGGAATTTGTGTAAAATTCCCCAAGTTGCACAAATTATGAGTATGTCCCGCTCGGTCAAACTTATTTATTAATATGACCGAAATATACAAAATTGATACACTAATTACGTATATCAATATTTAAATATACAAATTTATACATATACAAGTAAATGTATAGCCTATAGGTTTGTATATGTCCGCGCTTCTTACATATCGTATATATTAAGACAAATACGAGACGACATGCTAATAACAACGGATATAAATGATCTAAAATTTTAACGATAGCAAAATTATGCACTATCGAAAAAGTATCGGGATAAATATGGACCCTCTCCCAAATACTTGTCTATATATGTTTAAGTTGTTTCGAGAAAGTGTAGGAAAATTCCATGTAAATATTTGTACATCTATCATGTGTCAATTCTGGACTCTTCTAGTAAAGTCAATGATCTATCTCCAGGGTTATTTACGACACTGATTCAATATATGTTATTTATTTATTTTAATTTATGTAATACATATAAAATTTAAAGTCAATTTAATTTTATATGTTTTTTTAAAATATTTTAAATTTGTTAATTATTATGATTTATAATTTTTAACAATATATATTACTTTTTTATGTTAACACAAATGAAATATTAAGAGGCAACCAATATTATTTTTTAAAATTATTTTATGATTTATAATATTTTTTAAGTTATTTTTAAATATATAATAAACTGAAAAAATAATAACATAATATGGTAAATTTCTTTGAAGCCTACCCCACCTATCGGAAAGAGCAGAGATATATATAGTATGCTTTTTTGTCAAAAAAATAAATAAATACACACAATATATCATTTAGTACAAAATAATTCAAACATTTAATTATAAAGTAAAAAAAGTCTTTAAATGTCAAAATTACCCTTTAAATCAAAGTCAATTTCAAGGAGCTCACATATTGTCCAATACACGTGTAATTCAAGCCACATTTTTTTTTAATTTAGTGTTTGGACTCTGTATTAAAGCTCCAATTATATTTAAATTGTGTATTACGAGACTTATTTGAGGATAATGCTTTCAACAAAATTTTCTCCATATCTAAAACTTAAGCCTAAAGTTTCTAATAAAAGTGAAGTTATCTCGCCACGTCAGCGGCGAATAAAAAAGAAAAGTGAAGAGGGAAAAACTCCAACACGTACACGTTTAGTGGGTATAAATACAAGACACGGTTTTTGACTTTTACTTTTAATTAAGTTTGAAGTAAAGGTTTGTGTAATCCTTTAAATACTCACCATAAACAACAATCCTCTCTTTGTCCATTTCATACATTTTAACAACAACAATAACCTCATTATCTCCAAAACAACAAGAACAAAAACAAAAACAAAACCAAAACAAAAAAAATGGCTCTCAAGGCAATTCCAATTTCTCAAGTTGTTCCACAAATTGATGAAATTCATGTTGAAAATGTCACATTCCCTTCACTCTACAATAATAATTCTACACCTCTTTCCCATGGTAAGTAATCACCCCTCGTATTTAAGGTTCGATTAAATTTGAATTTGTGTCGAGAAATTTCATGATTAGATATTAAATGTCTCTATAGTTAGAATGATTCAAACATGATATCTTTGATTAATTATGACAAATAATTTTTATATTGAGTCTGACTAAATTTATATTCGCACCTCGCAGGGGAAGATGAGGATGATGTTGGGAAGATGAATAATAATAATAATAAGTTTGTAGTAATGGGACATAGAGGAAGTGGGACAAATATGTTGCAATATTCTTCATGTAATGAAAAAACAATAAAAGAGAATACTTTGCGTTCCTTCAATGAAGCTGCTAAATTCAACCTTCAATTTATCGAATTTGATGTTCAGGTTAGACAATAACTCCCAAATTCATTTTTTTTAGACGCTCTTCTAAACCACTTTATTTGTCACATTTTTTATTTATACGTCGCTTAAAAACTATATGTTTTGACTATGGTAATTAATTAAATGTAAATATATTTGTGGACGATTAAAAAGGTGGCCTTGTTTTACTGTCAACCTCTAGAAAGGACACGAACCACAGAGAATACGTAGCAGGTGGTGTCTAATTTTGTGACTATTGTCATCAAATCATTTTTAATATGTAAATTATTGAGACCAAATTTACAATTACAACACAACTTTATATGCTTTTAAGCCTTTGACGCTTGTACTATGATAGCATCATTCATTTTTGACCAAGGAAGGAAGTGTTTTATTTATATAAAAATGTTTGAATAGAGAGGAAGAAGCTTTGATAAAACATCAATCAAGGTTGAGCTAGTGTCACTTGAGAAATCTTATTACATTACATTATTATACAAACATACCCGCAAATTATACATGTGAAAAATGATAAAGTTGATATTTGGAATATCATAGATTTTTCTAGTATAGTTTCTAAAATAGTCTAGTGTAGTATCTAGAATAATTATCTTTAAAAAATATGTAGATATTCTAGAGAAGTTGCCTTGAAGAAATATCTAGATATTCTAAAGAATTAAATATTTGTAGTAAAAGATAGAATAGTCTAGATGTTGTAATATCTAGAACCATCTTACATAAGTATAAATAGAGGTGACCTTAGTCATTTGTATGTAACCCAATAACAATCCAAAGAAAGACAATCAATGAGTCTTCTTCCATAAACAAGTTCTCCTTTTTAACTTCATCTCTTTTTTAGATTCATCTTAGTTAACGATTTTGGGCTAAGAGAAGGCCCGATTTATACTTTTCTTCTGCTATTCTCTATGATACAAACCCACGAATTATACAAACGAAACATCTTACACAATAGTTACAATTCATAAATATGCAAACTATAGCTATAGAGCATAATTAAGTTTATTATTGTGACTTTGTGAAAATTCCCTTTTAAACTAAGCGGGTCAAAATAAGCCCACTCAATAAAATAAGCGGGTTATTTGCCCAAACATAAATTAATTAAAAGAGTCATGACTTTATGAGCTTTTGACACCCCTAACTCATACCGTCACAATTCAAGTGTATTTAACACTTCTTTTTCTCTTAGGTTTAGCAGAGTATGGAAATATGAACTAATAAAACCTATAAGACAATGTTTGTACATACTTCATGACTTGCTTAAGCGTTAAATTCTATGAGCTAAAAACTTTCTTTTCATATTGTGTATTTTATGATCTATGAATATTTGAATTCAATTAAGGCACTGATTATTTGTTTGTCTTTTCAATTTCTCCCCCCTCCTTCCTGGCCCTGCTTCTTGGTAGGTTTGCTTGCAAAATATAATTGGCAAGCAAAGAATACCATAGATGAAACTTTGTATCAAAATCTTTTTGTAGGTAACACGCGATGGCCATCCAGTAATTTTCCACGATATCTTCATTTTTACACAACAAGAGGTTCGTTACCATAAAAAACATTATAACTATGCTCGAATTTGATCATTTAGGATCATGTCCTGACTCTCGATATTGACTTTGCGATGAATTTTCAGGGGAAGTTGATTGAGAAAAGAGTTACAGACCTCACTCTGGAGGAGTTCCTTTCATATGGACCTCAGAATGGCTCAACAAATGTAACGGATTCTTCGCCCTTCATACGTGATGTAAATGGTTTCGAATTCGTGAAGCTATACTAATATATTTTGTTGTTGTTGTTGTTGTAAATAGGTGGAAAAACCATTATTCAGGAAAATGAAAGATGGGAGAATTTTCGAATGGAAGGTCGAAGAGGATGATCGGTTATGTACTTTGCAAGATGTGTTTGAGAATGTCAGTCAGTCTGTAGGATTCAACATTGAGTTTAAATTTGATGACAAGAGAAATTATAAAGACGAAGAACTTGTTCGTGTTATTCGAGCAGTTTTACAGGTGAACGCAAAAATGATCTTTAGCGGCAATTAATTAACGGCAATTAGCACTTTTTGTATATGTCCCTAAAGCATTTAGCGACATTGGATCTAATGACACTTAACTAATGCCTGTAAATACTTTAGCACTCTTTATTAATGTGTCTATTTATTGCCGCTAAAGGTTGTTTTTGTTGTAGTGACGGAAACTGGAAATCATATTACATGAGTAGTTTCTATTCCTTTTACTTGTGAAGCTAAAAGTTGTTAGTACTAACTGTTGAGGAAGAAGGAAGCTGACGATTGAAACATGTTTCTCTAATTCTAGACGTGAGATTTCTACACTAACATTTTTGTTGTAACATACTATGATCCAGGTAGTGTTCAAGTATGCCAAAGGTAGGCGCATCATGTTCTCGAGCTTTCAACCAGACGTGGCTCAATTGATCAGGAAGGAGCAGACCGCCTATCGGGTGAGTAAAGTTGAGCTCTTTTGATTCAATCTTTAAGGTTTTTAGCATTGAACGTATTATATAATTTTTGAAGAGTTATAGGTTCAGACCTATGAACTTTGCATCGAAATTACTGAACTCAGATGAAATCAAGGTACTATAAGGCTGCATCCGCTCTATTTATGACCGTTTAGGATCATGGAATTCATGAATGTATTACTGAAACTCCATAACTACGACGAACAATCTCCTAAACGATAGCTTTAATTGCACGCCACCTTACGAGTGGACAGAGTTTTTTCTAATGGACACTTTATTTGAGCATTTCTTGAAAAGTGTCATCTATATGATCATGATCCAGGTTTTCTTCCTAACAAACGGAGGATCTGAAATTTATCCCGACATCAGAAGGAACTCGTTAGACGAGGCGATTAAATTGTGCTTAGAAGGCGGTCTACAAGGCATCGTCTCAGAGGTGAAAGCCATTTTGAGAAATCCAAGAATGATAGCAAAAATCAAAGAATCCAATCTTTCCCTTATGACTTATGGCCAACTAAAGTAAGTTTTAATCGAAAAAAAGTTGTTATATACAATGTATAGTGTATGTATATATTAGTTCAATTTTTCGTATATCGTGCTAAGTGTACTAAAAGAAATACGTTTTACACTCTTTCAGCAACGAGAAGGAAGTGGTTTACTTGCAATACATGATGGGTGTTGATGGAGTGATTGTAGATTTCGTCGAAGAGATTACTTCAGCTGTTGCCCAGTTTTCGAAACAAGTTCATCATGATGGAAAAGAACACTTGTTATTGTTGGAAAAGAGGTTGTTATCGGAGCAACGAATAACTCCCTGCTCGGAGGATGAGATCTCATATTTTCGAAGGCTCGTGCCAGAGTTGATACATTCGTGAATTTGTATAATCGCGAATGTACGATTGTATGGTCTTTTTTGGTCTTGTTTTGGTATGTATTATAGTATATTGTATGTTTTCATGTATTAGGTTTGTGTAATAAAATTTTGTATAGGGACATGTATCATGGAAAGTATATTTAACAATCAAATGTACAGAGGGGATTAATGAGGTTTGTATAAGTTTTTACATCTAAGCAATCTACATTTACATAAATATGTATTCACAAAGAGTGCAAATAGATGGATAATTCATATTCAAATAAATAGCATCCTAAGAAAAGGTGTTAGGTATAAAGGCCATCATTTTTTTCAATCATAGACGGGGGCTGGGGGGATATGTAACCCAAATTGACTTATGAGAAATTCTATTAAAATATTTTTTTTAAAAATTAATATGTTATATATAGCCAGAATAAAGAAAAAATAATAATTTTATTAAGTACTAAAATATTTTAAAAGAATAAGTAAAACAATTAAACTTAGTAAAAATTGAATTGAGTTGAGTCGCGGTCCGTTTTGACCCAAGCAAATTGTGTTGGATTAGATTATGACTCGTTTATTATCTTGACTCATTATGACCCAACCCGTGCAATCGTCACCCCTAGTTCGGACATAGGGATAATTGAAATAGGCAAATATGTAAGTCAGGCAGAATACTACGCATAAAGAAAGACAGAGGCAGAGTCGTACTTTAAAGATTAAGGATTTTAGATTTTAGATTTTCAATTACTGAATTAACATTCTTAAAACAAATATAATGTTTGTATCAAGGTTATTGGGTTCGACTTAATCCACATCTTAGTCTAGTGGTGTATGTCCTATGTATATCTATGTATCACCATTGTATATTGGTATATTTCATATGTGTCCCTTGTGTATCTCATTTGATTTTCATGTCCAGATGAAAATGATTCTGATATGGCCAACTCAAATTTTAATTTTGGATCTCCAAAGTTTCATCAATGGCGGACTTATTCGAATTTCACCCCAATGAGCACCAATCTTAGTTGTGACTTGTGTATTAAAAAATAACTAAATTTAAGAACTACGTATAGTATTTAAATGTACACTCAAAAAAATATTATCAGTTTGAGAAAAATCATGCAACCATTTTTTTTTTTAATGGGCTTCAAAAATCTTAATTCAACTAGGGGTGTACATGGCCGGGTTGGTTCGGGTTTTTCAAATATCAAACCAACCATTTGTGTCGGATTTTTTGGAATTTATAAACCAAACCAAACCAATAAAACTCGGGGTTTTTTTCAAATTTTTTCAGGTTTTTCCGGTAAAGTATTCATACAAAACATATAATTTACTTGTACTTCAAATATTTCTTTAGTCCTACCAAAATACAACTATCTAAGGTGTTTCTTAAGAAAATAACACAAAATATGATATGATTAATGACACTAAAATGTCCAACAAAAAAATAATAATGAAATCGTGTAAAACAAATATTGCAAATTAATAAGTAATAATGACAATGATCATAATTTAAAAGTACTAAATCATACTAAAATAAGT